AATCTCAATTCAGAGTTTTCTTCTATGACTTTTTCGCATTATCGATGCGTTGCTCATGTTTTAAATATCGGAGTTAAAAGAGGAATGAGACTTGTTAATGAATTGATTCTAAAGGCGTGTGAATTAATATTCAAAATAAAAATTCAACTTACCTTTGTGACGAGCTTCAACTTTTTTGCAATGTAAAGAAGATTAAATATTTGAAGCCTATCTTAGATGTTGATACCCGTTGGAATTCAACATATTATATGTTGAAACGGTTGGAACAACTTGAGCCAGCCTTGTTTTTACTTGCTGCTGATCATTAATCAGTTAGGAATCTTTGTCCTAATGAAATGGATTGGATTGTAATTAAGGTAAAAATAGAATCAGCTATATAAAGTTGACTTATGAACTAATTGAAATTATTGAGATGAACTATCTGGTCAGTTTCGGAAAGCTTTTTTGAGTGGAGGATTATTTGGATAAATATCAGTATCCATAATTATCTGTTTAAGAGACATCGCATTGGTCAAAATCAAAAATAGTGGTGGTCGATTTACAAAAATGCCACAACCTAATTATTAATGAATTTCGATGTTAATTTTTATACTTACCTTATATATACAATTTTTACTAACCTTAAAAAATAAAATATATTTTAATAATAGGATACTTGCTTACTTCTTGAGCCTATAGAAAAAGCCACCAAACACTTATCTGCCTCATCTTATCCGACTTTAGGAGATATTTGATGGAATCCTAAAGCATTTGCAAAGATACAATGAAAATAAAGACTTTACTCAATGTGAAATGGTGGCCTCGATTTATAGAAAACTTGAGGAATATTGGAATATAATAGATAGTTCATCTGTTACTTCTGCTATTTTAGATCCTCGAAACAAACTTTCAGTTTTTCCTAGAGAATCAATACAAGCTGCTTGCATAAATATTCAAGTTGTTTTTGATATATATCAAGAACAAGTTCCCAGTATGACAACAATATTTCCTGCATTAACTGTCAATACCACCCGCCAATATTTTGCACAACTCCAACAACAAAATGAAACCTCCCAATACCAAGTACTTCAACTACATCTGAATTAAACCTCTATCTTACACTACCAGTGATGAAGAAACAGATCCACTTTTATGGTGGCAAGCGCATATGAAGGAATATTTTGTTTTAAGTTTAATAGCGCGAGACTACCATACAATCCAGGCAACCAGTGTTGCATTAGAGCAATCATTCTCCGTTGCCAGGAACACAATCACTAAAACGCAAAATCATTTGCTACCAGAAACAGCGAGGGTGATTTTGTGTACGAAGAGTTGAATATTGAATTAGATAGATGAACCTTAGCAAAATGTTTTAATAACAAGTCTATACTTAATATGTAATAAAAATCATATAATAAATAATAAAGAGTAAATTGGGTTCGAATTATAGTCCTTTGGAAACTTTCAGTCAGTTTCTAAAATGTTTGTTTCATCAATATGTTTTTGCCTCTCTTTCTGTTTGTAGAAAAAAATGTTAAATAAATATTATACAGTACAGGTGCGCAGTTACTGCGGAATTATAAAAAAACTGGTTCAAGAATATGGTTCAAACTGACCGGTTTACAGAACTGGTTATAAATGAACCAATTCAAACCACAGGTTTACAGAACACAGTTCGGTTTGATTTAAATATTAGAACCCATGTTCACTGAACCAAAACTGAGCCGAACCTAACTGCCCCATCCCTAGCCAGAATGGGAATGGCCTGGCTTGCTGATTACAAATAACCCTCCAGTGTCCTTACACGCAAAAATTAATGATTCTTCACCTAGTGCATTATTAGCTAATTAACTGCAGTTGTAGTGGTCATAGTTTAATTCCTGACATATTAATATGCACGGATTTTATGACTGATTCAAGCATATCCTGATGACTCAATCCCACATCTAAAATCAATTGTCATACTCTCTCTGCCTTCTAAAAATGTTAAATTAAGCTCTACACAATCATGCAGATAAACTAGCCAAAAATGCTTCTATGACCAATTCTCTTTCCTATGACCTTAATGCTCTGGAAAGCTATTACATATGTTGTTACCATCACATTCCTATAAACATCTCACCAAGATACTTTCTCAAAGATGCCCTTAGATCTCTTAGATTAAATAACTTGTCAACTCACCTTACTTCACCAAGTATGGTAAACAATCAATTCACTGGACTGCCACATGTTTTGTACTTAATGACAATGAACATACATTTTCGACATCTTTTCAAGCTTTATATTTAAAGACAACTCTTGATACTCTCAAAAAATGACATCCCAACCTCTACTCTCAAAATCAACTTTGTTTGTCCTGTAATATTGTTGATGAAGAATTTGAACATATCCGACTTTGTTCTACTACTCGACAAATCTAACACCTCTGAATCAATCATTATTATACATAAGATTGATATTGAGAACCTGAAAGAAGAAAACCAACATCTTAAACACAATCTGCAAGAAAATATCACAAAACTGAATGAGGTCCTAAACAAGTTGACACAATGCAACAGATGATAGTCACGGCTAGACACCTTCATGAAAGTAAGAATTCCTATTGTTATCCTTGAAAAACCAAAAGATTTTTACATACATCCCATGAGAAGTTCCCACCCACCCCCTACATTCTCATGAACTTGTATAAACAACATCATTGCTTTACACCAATCCACTTCCACATTCAACAAGAATCTTGACAATAATTATTGTACCCTGTTTAACATCCAGCCAGATCTAAACAGACAGACGACAGGTGTTGGTTTCATCTTAAAAAAACAATTTGCTGACCACATTTTTCATCATGGTAGCTTTTGGGACCACATTATATATATAGATCCTTCTGACAATAAATTAAGAAAAACATTATATCATAAGATTGTTAGCCTCTTTAAACAAGCATAAAAAAAGTCTGCAGATTGTACCTTTCTGTTCCAGGAGAGACCGTCCAGATTACACAAAATTTCGATTTTGTCACATATATCCGACCAATAAAATTACAAAATTTCGATACTATCACATGGTAACCGACCAATCAAATATTAGCCTTAATTTATATAATAAATATTAAAATATGAATTAAATGTTGTAAGATTAAAATTTTAAATTCTTATTATAATAAATATAAATCATTTTAATTTTTGCATATCAGCATTTAAGAAAAACATAAAACAATTAAAATAATCATTATGATATTATAATTAATATAATATAATTAATATAATTTATAAATACTACAATTATTTACAGGTTATGAAATAACATTTTTGTGTGTTCTAATAAATTTTCTGTTGCTACCATATCATGCGTTACCTCATCTACATCACTTAAACAATCTTCATCTGCATTTTCAATACTATCATCAATAAATTCATCTTCAACCTTTACTTCTTTCGTTAGACTTATTATTAATGCATTAACATTATTTTTAACCTCACCCAAAAGATAATCTAAACATATAAAACATTTAAACTGACTCTTCTGCAAGCAAAGGCTATGGTAGCCATGACTACATGCTAAAATGTTACCATATGTGAATTACTATCACAATATATGTAATCACATAAAATATTAGTATTTGGTTTTCTAGAAATAACGAAGTCTCTTGGAAGATGCTGATCGGTCACCTCGTAACCTAATGAAGGAAGTTTATATGTGTTAATACCATCAGATGAAGATTTAATAATTAAAGGATACTGGTCACGCGCTTGATATATTTTCGTGAACATGTTTAAAAGCACTATTGCACATTTTTTTGAAAGCATGTGCAATTGTTTTGATGTAAATGAATATTTCACTGCATGATCCCGCATACGAATACGATTCTGATAAGAAATTTTGAGGTTTATGATAAACCGTTCATCGAGATGCTTTTAAATCAATTCATTATCAACAATCTTTGGATTGATTACTCCATTACGTCGTATTGCCAGCATGAAGCATGGATTTGCTATAATCGTTGCCATGTGCGCCAACCAAGAAGTACTTGTAGTATCTGGTCGCCTTTGAGTATGGATGTTGTGATAATCGTTAACATTCAACACAAAGGCTTTTTCCGAATATTTTATAAAGGCATCCTTTGTGGTAGTCACGCCAAGATTTGCCATCGTATTTAGATATTTTAGACCTTCGTTGCTTGTACCTACCGAATCTAAATAATATGCAAGATCAAACTTGAAACATTTAATTTTCGTATTATTTAATGAAGCAAGAACATAACATATGAACACCATTAATTTCTTTATACAATCTATGGTTTGCTCATTACGTTCACGTGGCTGAGCTGCTGAATAAAGCTGATCAAAGAAATCCTTTAGGCTCAGATCTCTTTCTTGAAGTAATTCTCGCATTTCCTCAAACCCATATATTTTATCTTCTCTATTCAAATGTTCTCTATCATATAGAATTTTGCCATAGACTTGATAGCTCCGGTGAAATCAATCTTCATCCTCAATTGTGGCTTTTATTTCTTCCTCAGTTGTGACTTTAACTCGTTTAGGACCTCTTTTTAATGGATTCTCCACAAAACGCATATAGCAACTATTACATAAAACAACACCTTCTACCCATGTTACCTTTACTAAGTCTTTACTCTTAGCTTCTCTCTATTTTTTTCCATTCACTGATCGGAATTTAGTTGATTCGGTGGTTTGACATTCTATACATTCCTTCCTTTCAAACATATTTTAGCTGGACAAATAGTAATATAAAAGGTGTGGGATTCAAGAGGATTCAACGGATAGTATTATATTGCAAAACTAGTAATTGATTTATGAATTCCACACAAGATCTTTATATACTACAAGTTTAAGGTGTTTAAGGTATATTTTATTAAAACAAAAAACTAATACTATGTATTATTATTATCATTACTAAGGCTAGTAAGCATTCATTCTGCTGTTTCTTTTTTCATAGCATTTGAATATTGGTTATCCTAGTTTAGGTATTTTGTGTGCTCCAGTTCATTGTTTTCAGCCTTTTCATTCAACATACGAAGCAATATCTTCTAGAAGATAGTGTTGACTAGAATTTGCATTTCCGACATGAAAAAAAACTTTTAACAATTCCACTACTTCCTTTGCAATACAAGCTACACCTCCCTTTTCCAAACTTTTGTTCTCCCTTTATAGCCCATCATTTTGGCAAATGATCTTAGTACTTGAAATGCAAAAAATGTTAATATTTGATATTTTTAAATTTCTTACTCTGAAGGCTGATTTGACGAATTTAATGCTTGGGGTAAACTGTTGTTCTGGTTGTAATGACAAGGAATCTATTATAGATTAACGAAAAGGTAATTCAATTGTGATATTATCATTCAACAATAGATCATAATCTCAAACCTTCTAATATTTACTTTCGTTTAACAGTGAAAACAAATGATCATTGCAAATTCAGATATTTTTATTTGGGATGAGTGCCAGCACTCACCCCATTTTTGATTTTCTTAAAAATAACCTGTATTTTTCTTTGCATCCAAGTTATTTGTAATAATTCTGATAATTCCACCCTTTGTTTTTCTTCAAATAGGATATTTAGCTGTACTAGTTCAATTTGAATTTCTGATAATCTCATGCATTTTGGATTCAAATGTACTAATAATTGACATTTATAAAAATATTGCATCCAAATAAATACAATGTGTAATAATAGGTATAATACTTGATAGATCCGGAATTGGAACACTCCATAATACTTTTGGCATAGAATGTGATGTGCAAGTAGTTTTGGACTCATCATTTGTTTAATTAACCAAACAATTTATTTGTACAAGTGAAAAATTGTTCCACTTTCCCACATTAGGCAATGCATGTGCTTATATATATTCACTGTAAGTTCCTTCACATTGCCATTACCAGAAATACCTTTCAGAAATTCCTGCCAGTATTTTAACTTCATTTCCTGTAGTTCTATTTGGTTCTAAGTGTGGTACTGAGTTTCACATACATGCTCAATTGCCGTTTTTATATTTTCTTCACTTGTTAAATCATCTAGTAAAACAAAATGTCTGATTGCATGTGCAATCTGAATAAAAAGCATCAATCACAAAAAAAAAATTGCAGATAAAAAGAAAAAATTGGTATGTATCTTTTTGTGAATAATTTTGAGAATTACCTGTGCATGATGAGAATCAATTGTGGTCTTTGCTTCTCCAGGTTCCAAAAATATCTGAAATAATTTCAAGGTTATTAATTACAGTGTGAAGTGATATGGGGCCTTTGCAACAGAAAGGGGGGAAACTGCCAGGAAAAATTAATTTTACTTTATATGCCAAATATGATTTTTATGCTGAAATATGTTCAAATTTAGCATTAACTCACTTTGGATTTTTTCGGCTGTTTCCCACCTTTCTATTGCAAAGGCCCCATATCATCTTGATGTGTATACTTTTGACTAATGATCAAACACATAAATGTCTAATTTATCATTTTCTTTTTTTTGTATATACCAGCACTGTATGAAGAGTCCATCCCCATTTTCCAAAAAACTCATCTTTTGTCTCTCGTGCTGATTTAGGAAGAATTCACATCTTATAATCAACAATCATCAATGCTCCATTTTCATCAAGTTCTTAAAGACTTGCAGAAATTGTGAGTTTAAATAATCTTTACATGTTTGATGGGAAAGATAATAACACAACTTATACTGAGCTTCACTTAGCATTTTAAAATGGTATTCGCTAAGATCAGATTTTAATTGTCTAAAGAGTGCCTATAATTCATTGCATTTTTCACAAATGCTAGTATGCATATTTTTACGCATATATCAGACAGTGTTTAGTCCATTAGCATCAATTAATATCTCCTTTTCATAATCACATTTCATATGTTTTCTAACTTTTTCAATCTTATCAATCAAAATAGACTTTATAAATAAAGAGAACCATTATTAAATTGAAAAAATAATAATATAAAGATATTCTTTCTATTACCTGATATTGCGATCTTTTATTTGTGTTAAAATCAATTCAACTAAATTTTCAAAGACATCATATCCATATTGACAACATATAGAGCACAGATACCAAGATCTTCTTAATACTAGAATCTTCTCATGCCAATTCTATCATAAATGTTGTTTGCTTAAGCCATTTGAATAGGTTTCTGTTTTTTTGTCTTTTAGATTTGAATGGTTTGGGATGACATCTGAAATTGCTGTAAAGATATGGCAATTCATCTTATTCATCAGAATCTAAATTTTGAATTTGTTGCTTTTGTTTACCTTTATTAATTTTAGTTCCCTTAATGTAAAGCTGCAATAATAGATAATATTCTTCTTTTACCTTCAATGCCTTTTTTATATACATTATATGATTCTATTAAACAATTAGCTAATCATTCTGTAAAATCATCAAGTAGCTCACATTAGTCATAAAAATGTGCATACGTAAGGAGCCATTTTCAAATAAAATATATAATGTTTCTTAATCACGTATAAGATAAAGGTGATTAATTAATTTAAATTGGCAAAAAAGTTTACATTCATATTAGAGGTAGACTTATTATAATATCATGGTTAGAAAATATAAAAAAAATCGTAAATGTATTTGTTGTAATAAGACTTTTGCCACACCTCAAAAACTTTGTCAGCATTACAAAAGTAATAAAAATCAATGTATACAAAAGCAAGCTCCAGTTCCTGAGACTTTTAGTCAAAAGGAGAGATATAGCATGACTGAGCGACAAGATGCTCTGGAGAAGCCAAAAGTGATTAACCAAACTCCTGATTCTGAAGCAGGCCCAGGTCCACTAACTCAAGCATATACAGAAGGTGTATAAGAATCTAACGTGTTTGAGCGACAAGATACTCAAGAGGAAGATCCTGAAGCTAGACACAGTCTCTTAACTCATAGACAAGAATATAAAGTACAAAAGGAATTTGCGTAATCTTGCAAGACAACATAGTTCTCTTAATTGTATGATTGTATGGTAGGGGGTTATTCCTTCATGCAAGAAAGAGCAAGACAATTCGATAGAATATGCAGATGCACCATATATGCCCCACCTCATAGCATATGCCTGTGATGCAATTACAAGAGCTTCAAAAAAGAGATCAAATAAAATCGGCATTGGTTATATATGCTACATATGTATCATATTCCTATAAAGAACAAGTGATCCTTCAGATTGGGCAAAATATACTGTCAAATATCATCATTCATATTATAGAAGCCATCAACTGGTGTAGAAATCGATCAAAAGATTGAGAAATATTTAAAAGAATCAGGTAAAATCCTTCTCCGGTTAGAAATGATACTTATAGAGTCATATACACTTCATCGAGCTCTTGGAGGTTCTCACATTAATACTCCCAAAAAACTCTCCAATACAAAGTGTACAATCAATCCAAATAATGAAGGTTTCATTGATTCAGAGACAAAAAAGCCTTCTAAAAAATGTCTTCAAGGTGCTTTAGGTTATTATTTCGCCCATCAGGATAGACATACAGATCATCTTGAACAAATCTTTCGAGCTGCAAAATATAAACCATATTTAAGTGTTGTCAAGCTCAATGGAATCCCAATGCCTACTCCAATTTGTCCACGAACATTTCAAAAGATTGAGGAGATGAATCCAGATATCTCCATAAATATCTGGAAGTGGGAAGAAGAAACATGTACCCCTAAACCCATTCTTTATAGTAAAAACTATAAAAGACAAAATATTATCCATCTTATGGCCCTTACAGATATTACCAAATCAGAGGAAGGTAAGTATGGGCAAAAGAATCACTTCCTATGGATTAAGAATCCGGATGGATTAGTAACTAAGGATACATCTCATAAAGAAAGAAATATTTATGCAACCGATGCTTTCAAAGTTTTCGATCTATAAAATCATTAAACCATCATTAGAATAGTATTTTGGATTGGGTGAAGCCCCACAAAGAAGAAGTGTGACACACAATATGGTGGAAATATGCAAAAGATAGCAGAGGAAGAAGCTAATATTTTTAGCTACAAAGTCTACTGGATTGATACTGGAGAAACATGGGGTCCCTTCTTATATCGTGGAGAAAATGCCACAGAAGAATTCATCCGAAGGATCAATCAAGAATTGGTAGAAATAAATAAGATCTTAGCTGTTAAGCATGAGCGTATTATTACGGATGACTACCAAGAGGCAGATAGGTGCTGGATCTGTGAAGACAAGTTTAGTATAGATACAGATATGATTAATAGGTTAGAAAGAAAGATTGCAAATTTCACTGACAAGCTTACAGAAATTGTTCAAGATCTTAAATCATATAATAAGATAGCTTCACCTAGAGATATATTAAGAAAATCTATGAAATAAAAAAGAATATCGAATCAGAAAAGGATCTCAAAAATCTCTATATAGAATTGCTAAAGGCTGTTAAGAATCCTGAAGACTATAA